AGATTAAAATTAGATAAAATATTTGCAAGCTTATTATAAAAGTCTTTTAGAAAGATCTGAATCTATATACTTCTAGAAAAAAAAGATTATCAGAAAAAATTCATTACAAACCTAGAAAAAATGCTAAACAAAACAAGAAAATATTTTTAAAAACAATTGAAATCTTGCTACTATAATTAAAGATATTAAAAAAATTAGAAAAAAATATATGAACTAAAAAAGAAGATACAATAAAACTGATATAAAGAGCTCACTTAAGATATCTCAGAAAAAATAACAATATATTAGAAGATTTGAAGAAAAATATAGCTTCTAAAGTATTAGAAATTATCTATATTTTAATAAAAATAGCAAGTATACAAGTACAAAAGGTCTTTTAATCATTTGCAAAGAGCTATATTCAGTCAAGCATAATTTTATTAAAATGAAAAATCTTACAAATATATTTAATTTCAAAGAATACAGATTAGTGCTATAATTTGAATAATATTAAACCAATAGTATTACTAGAAATTTTTAAAAAATATATAACCAAAATAATTACAAGAAAATTAGTACAAATTCTAGCAAAAAGAATATTTTAAAAAGCCTAAACTTTGTAAAACTACCTAAGACTTTAATAAAAAAATCAGTATAAATTATAAATATAATAATAAAAGATATAAAAAATAATAAAAAACTATAGCTAATATTACAAGATTTAAAGAGGGCCTTTAATTTAGAGGTGTGCCATTTATCACGTGATTTTTACCATGGATACATGGGTCAGAGGGGTGATCACATACATATATATATATATAATATAGTATATAATTAAATATATAAAATTACTATATTTCGCCACTAGTGATCATCACCAGTGATTTACAGGTGTAACGTATAAATCAAAGTGATTTTTTAAAACAAAAATTTAATTCTTTTAATCTTAGGGTAAGGGTGGAGATATTATGTTAGAGTTAGGCAAAAATTATAGTAAAATTTTGCAAGGAATTTTTTTTGTTAAGGCCCAAAAGATGGTTTTATAGATAAAATTTTAAGATACGATTAATTTTTTAAAAATTCTTTGTTTTTGTTACACAAAATTGATTTACATGTTACACCTGATCTGCAAATTAATTGGTTAATTATATACTGGTGATGATCACCAGTGGCGATAAATAGCAAACTCTTTTTTTATAAATATGATTAAAAATATTTAATTAACAAAAATGAAGATTATGTTTAGGCTTTTATAGATTTTGAAAATAAGAAAAACATCTTGACTACGCATCTTGTTCATATAGTTATTTATGCTAAGATTTCTTAAACACAAAAGAAAAAATTTAATATTTGTCGTATCTCTTAGCGAAACTTATATAGTTAATTGTATAAAATTTTTTTGAGTATAAAAGAAAGATATTGTTTAGCTATAAAACTTAATATCAGTCATATATCTTGGCAAAACTTATGACTTTCATGCCAAGATTTTTTGAACATGAAAAAAAATAGCCCAGCTATAATCTTGGTTGAAATTGTTTCTAACTACTTTTATACTATACTTTTTTAAGTATGAACTAGTATTAATTTTATTCAATTGTAAAATAATCAATAAAGATTATAATTATTTATATAATTTCTTATATTTACAAGTTAAGAGTTTAAATCGAGTAAAACATATTTTTATTAAATATTTGATAATTAATTACAAAAACTAATGTAATATTATATAATGCAAAAATAAAAAAAAAATTCATAGTAAATGCCTTTTTCAAGAAACTTGCTTGTAATGCCCACCAAGAAATTCATTTATAATGCCCTCTACCAAGAAATTTGCTCACAAACGCCTGTTTCAAGAAATTTCTCATAAACACCTTTTTTAAAAAATTTTCATTTGGTATAAAGAAATTAATATCTTTGTTAGCACTTGAATTATTATCAATAATAATAATAGTTTTTCTTTTCAAACACATGTCTGTATTATTTTTTAATTCTTTAAGTTTTTTATAAAAATTTTTAATTATATGGATGCCACCAAGTAAAAAGCAGAATTTCTAAAAATAAAATTCTTTAGACAACAGAATATGATCAAGAAATAGTATAATTATTATTCTAGTTAGATTGGTTAAAAGTTGTATTCTGTTATGTAAAAAAGTCTATTTTTAAAGTCTTGGTTTTTATTTGGCAGCCCATATATGAAAAAACGTAAAACATAAATGAAGCCAAATAATCTTGAATACCATGGGTTCTATTGCAAAAACTCAGTAATGTGTGATGCTTTCAGTAAGCTACAATATTAAAATAAAATTTTATACATTAATACTTTTTATACTCAAATACCAGAAAACTACTTTTTAGGCTCAATTATTTTGGCTATATTCGTGATTTATATGGTATTCATGAGATGTTATAGCTGAAATCTGAAGCGTACTGACTAGTTTCAAGTAACCTATTTGTCATAAAAGCTATAAAAAAACACTTATATACCAGTTAATTTTATATGAAAAGGCTACTTTGAATTAGAAAACAGTTAATGTTTAGCTGTTTATTGATTTGCTCGTACCTATGTGTAGTGATGTACATGGACACTGTCTGCAAATATTTCTTGGATACAAACATATTTGGATATTGTCCAATATCCATATCCGCTATATATTCAAAAAATATAAATTGTCACCGTATATTGTCTGCACAAAAAATGACGAATATGAACATTCGGCAAACAATGTCTGCCGAACGATATCTAATATCCAAGCATTTAATTGGACAAGTATTTCAGTCTTGAAATGATCACTCAATTAAATGCTTAAACGTTAGATATTGTCTGGTAGATATTGTCCAATGCCCAACATCAAGAATTATCACTTTCACTTGCTAGTAATTTTATTAATTTTTTTTTTTTAACTTTTTTTATCTAAATAACTTTTTTTTTATTTAAATAGTTCTTTAGGTTAATATTTCGCTAGAACAGGTGAAATAGTGAGATTAACTAGTAGAAAGATAAATACCAGTTCATAAATTTTTTTTTACTTTTCCATGTGTTCTTTTACTAATGTTGTCTTCTTTTTAGCTTGTGTTTTGTCGCAAAGATATAATAAGATCTGGAATCTGGAAAACAGTACAATAAGATAAGTATACCAGTTTCTACTTTCTTGTTTTCATGTCTTCTTATTTCATTTTTTAACTACTAATTCTTTCTCTTGTAAGTCACTGAAGAATATAAATAGAGTTGATAATAAAGATTTGAACTCAGGAAAAAATAGTACTAGTATAAAATAAGTATGCCAGTTTTTACTTTCTTGTTTTCATATTTTCTTGTTTCTCTTTTCTTTCATTCTTTAACTACTATTTTTTTTCTCTTGTAGGTTATTGTAAAATGTAAATAGAGTTGGTAATAGAGATCTGAACCTAGGAGAAAATAGTAATATATAAGTATGCCAATTTCTACTTTCGTATTTTCATGTTTTCATATTTTTTTTTTCTATTCTTAACCTCTACCTTCTTCTTGTAAGTCACCGGAGAATATAAATGAAGTTGGTAATGCCCAAGAGAAAATAGTACTGGTATCCCTTAAACCGTCCAAATAAGCAGGCAAATTTGTCTGCTTAAATTTTATAAATTCATGTCTGATTTATTTTTTT